TTTTTTTCATTTGAGAAAGTATTTCAACTAATTAAAACTTGATTATTTAAAAAAAACAGTGTTGTTACCAACAGAAAAAAGCACATCTATCTGTTCGTCATAGAAATTCTATGAAATATGATTAATATGAATGTATATCAACTAGGAAATGTTTTTAGTTATTGTCAAAGTTGTTTATATTTTATATTTATTTTTCTTAAACTATGTAAACATTATTTCATCACAATCGTTTGTAATCTTACTCTGGGAAAAGCAAGAAATCTGTTGTATATTCAGTTAGATTAAATTTACTCTATAAGAAAAAGAAAAGAAAAAAAAAAGACATTCTTTTTAATTTGAATAGTTTTTCTTCTTTTAACATGAACGAGATGAAAAACAATTTCTTGCTTCTTTTTTGATGGATATTTTTTTCTTATAAACAATTATCTAAACTTTATATAGACAAAAGCATTCGAAACTTAGCACAGATATACATATTTACTCTTTCAAATATCACTTAGTAAAATTTATTAGAGCAGTAATGACCGACTATCGTTCCAACTATGTGAGAAAAAAAACTCGAAAACTTTAGAATTCACACTACGGCACGAAGATGGGCCTCATCTCTTTCTAACCATCACTCGTACGCTCAAGATACTTATTCATTCTTAAAAATTTTTTACGAATATTTCTCATTACTTTACCTCTCAATATTGTGTTTTAATTCTACTTTTTTTATCGAACAACTTTTAATATTACATAATTTATATAAATGATTTTGTCGATTATTACAAACAGGATACATTTTATAAACTATATGATTATCAAAAGAGACATAATAAATGTATAAAAATCATCTAGAAGGTTAAAACCAGAAAAAAATTATTAGTCATTCGTAGTTTATTACAATTCTGTTATATTATTTTAAATGAAGATAAATTTTATTATATATAGTTATTTACGAATTATCATTAACGATTCACAAGTTTTAAACATGTATGATAATAAAAATAATAATTACAATATTTCTTTATGCTTTGATAAAGAAGTATTCAATCATCGAAAGAATAATCCTTCGATTATTATATTTGCATATGAATATTGTTCGTTATGATCAGAATAAAAATATAAAAGGTATTTTTATTTTATACATTCAAATTAATGATTGATATTATACTAAATACAATCATATTGATGATGTAAGTATAATTATTTCTCAGTATTTCGGATATTTTTTTAGACTGATAGTGTATAATAAACAAGACGTGAATTAATTTTTTTATGTCATTACCATTAGTTTCTTCATCATCATCGGATACAAATGAAGATGTAGCAGAATTAGCCACATTTTTTTAATGAAATGTTAGATTTTTGTTCAAATAGTATACTTATTATGTAACATAGACCAGCTCTTGCTGCTCAGGATGTGTATATGGATGAAAAGAAAACTATCACCCACACCCATTCTCGTAAAAAATGAGAAATTTCTTTTTAATATTATACTTCACATTTCGTTCTATACAATAAAATACAAAGTACTCAGAAGATAAAAAATATGATGAAACGGATATTATTTTTGATCTATTTAATTTTCGTTGATTAAAATAATAATTTGGATTAAACTCATTCTTTAATTTTGATTTTTAACCAATTCTATTTAATGATTTTGATAAAAATTCATATTTTAATTAATCAAAATGAAATGCATCAAAAATAATGTCCGTTACATCATCAGAAATCTCATTGTTTTATAACGATACTGATATTATTATCTGATTCGTGAAGACTAATAATTATTTTAACTAAATAAAAATAATGTAAGAATAACACAAATTCCTACAAATAAATATTTTAAATCAAGAGTAAGAAAAAAAAAGAAGAAATGAAGATCTCTATTATCTCGAAGTAATAATGATCGAAATATCGCAGTATTTGATAGTTTTACTCTTACTTAATGTCATTAAAATGAAATAATCGTTTTATTGTAGTTGTTGAAAAGCTTACCTCTTTCAAGATTCTTTCGAACAAAATGAAAAAAAAAAGTAATATACTAGTATTCTCGAGAATGTCTAACAAATATGTTTGCTCTATAGTACGCTATGACGTTGATGACGATTCTGTTTTGTTCTCTTATACTATGCTTCGCTTATCACCTGTGAAAATAAAAAAAAGACGAAGGAAGATAGAAATACAACATTTAGGATATATGTATTTTAAATCAAAGAATATCACTCAACAACGAACTGATAATCTATTATATTAGATCGAAATTCAGATTAAAAATATATAATCATAGAAAGATTGCAATAAATTATCAATTGCTACATTTTTCTGTGTATAATCATGTGAGAAATAATGAATAGAAATATTATGTGTAAAAAATACATGATGATAGTATCGAAGTATTAACAAAAATAAACAAAATATTATTCATAGATACAATTATATAGTTTCAGTGTATATTTTTTTTTCTCAAAAAGTTTATTTTAGATTTTCATTTGTAATAACTTTCAGCAACTGATAGAAAAAGTTGATTATTCAAACAGAACATTGTCGTCATCAACAAGAAGAAAAAACTCCACGTGTTATTATAGAAACTAAATACAACTAAATGCATGCTGGCCTCTAATTACGATTTGTTTTTAAAATATTGAATCTTTTAATACACTGATTTTACTTGAAATTTCAATTATGTTGATTCCATCGTTTGAAATTCTTTTATTAATAGAATATAATTGCTAACCTCAACTATAACATTTTTATTCGCATACATACCATAAGCAGTATATTTTCCAAAATTATATTAAACAAATGAAAATAATGTTCGATTAAATCTTTTAGAAAAAGTGGAAAATAAATCAAGTAATATCTTCTTGGATATTAGATAAATTACATGAATTTTGTCATAAATTATCGATGTGTTCTAGGAAATTTCGATAAAATTGTTGTGTCAAAAAAAAGATTTTCAAACCTTGAGGGATCATCACACCCTCAGTGTGGAGACATCTTTGCATTAAATATATATATATAAAATTGTATTTATTTATTTTATCCATGAGAATTTAATTTCAAAATTGAGATCAATTAAAGTTGAGGGTGTGGGTGTGGGCCTTAGTTGAATGTATGATTTCGTCCACATTCAACACACCCACACCCTCAAGGACGCACATACGTACACGCATACTCACAGTCACCACATAGGCAACCACGCACACTCACACCCTGAATTCATTCAAGGATCTTCTAGCAATATCTGTTGATTCTACAGTGCCTCGAACACAAGTCGAGTCAGAAAATGAATCTTAAACGTGAATTTGGCTGTATACATTCTATTTCATCGACACGCTCACTCCACGTCCTCAAAATGGTTTCGACAGAAGAAAAAAAATAAGATGCCAGTATGAATGTTATATGTATTTGTTGCACTACTAGAAGCAAAATAAGCGATAAAGGATAAAAGGCAATGAAGAAAAAAAAGCGATGAAGAAATATTTTTCTTTTGTCTTTTTGTCTAATATTTTATGAAGCAAGATGTAATCGTCTTCGTATCGTTCGTTTATATCGTTCATAAGTCTTTAAAAAGTGTTGTTTATATGATGTTGATGGCATAATAAAGACAGGAAAAGTCAATATCGATGGAATAAACGAAATAAAATATCCAATCAAAAACAACCATGGTTCATTTCTTGAACTCATACAATCTGATACAAAAGCAATGATTAAATGTAATATAGCCAATATAATTAAACTAATTGAAGATATCAATAGATGTTTATGTTCTAGAATTTGTTTCTTTAATATTTTTCGATAGCTTTCTTGAATTCGAATAATTTTTCGTTGTCGAGCTGTTACTAGAATAATAAGTGGACCAGAAATTAAATTAATAATAAATGGAATGAAAAAATGACATAGATTCATAATTTTATTATATGTTCTTAATGCTGATGAATAAGTAACAATACACCAAATTCTTTTTTCATTATCATTATCTTCTATTAAACGTCGATGAATAGGATCATGAATATTTGTCAAAATATTAAAAATAAAAACAATCAAAATGATAAATTTAGCCATTTTTTTACTTTTATTCTTATCAAAACCAGTTCCTTTGATTACACTAATCACTCGTTCAATAGCAACACATGCCGATAACCATCGATCCATATTAATACCAATTCGTAATAAAAAATCTATTGAAATACATTGTGTTTTTAAAAATGAATCATTTGTAACATACATCATTTGTGCAATAAGAAGTATCCAAAACTTTAAGACAAATAATATCATTGTAAATAAAGTAATAATTGATATAGTTAGTAAATAAATTCCACAACCAATTTGACATATTTCTTTATTATTAAATGTTATAAATGATAAAATACTGTTGATTAATCCGATAATTGTTATAATCATCGTTAATATCATACTGAATTGTATAGCAAATGGTTGATGTGTAATTGTGATATGTGGTTGAATTTGATAACCTAAAATATCATCAAGAGAAAGACCAAATCCCTGTGCACTAAATTGACATAATGTTCCATAAAAACATCGAGGGCAAACACATATTGATGCTTGTGCACATTGAGATCTATCCTGTAAACATTTTGCTTCATTTTGACAATTACTTTGACCAAAACAATCGAACTTTTTCTCAGAATCAAATTCAAAACAATTGGCTATACGTTGTTGTCCAAAATGATTACATAAACAAAAATAATTATCATCATAAAAACAAGATAATTGTGATGAAGACATATTACATAGCGAATGATAATATTTAATACGACGAAGAAGATGATATTGATTAAGAGTTTGATTTATTTCATTTATATGTGGACAATGATCTTTTGATTGAATTTCTTGATTAATTTTTTTTGATCGATGATAGATATTTTGAACAAAAACTAAATAATAATTTTTATCATCAAGTTCAGCAAAAATAATATGAAATGGATATGACCAATAAAGTATTGCTGTTCTTTTATTAACAGGAATCATTTGATATGTACTACCATTGATTGGTGCAGAATCATCAAATACTTCAATGAAATGAACAAGTATTGATTGAGATAATTTAATATTTTTATGAAATGACAGATTAATTTCATTACCAATTATTTCACATCTTAATCCACTAAAACCTTTTTGACAGATACATTTGAATTTTTTATTAGATACAATATGCTCATCAGTTGGTATACATTTACCGCCATTTAGACATGTTAGATTTTGATTTAAATTACATACTCGACTTTGAAATAAACATTGAGAACCCCATTTATTAAAAGGGCAAACACATAAAGATCGATTGTTTGGTAAAATACCAATGCATAATGAATCAT